GGAGTTGCTGCCTTTCTGTTGCTGGGGTGGACTGCTAGGGTGTGATTCTAGGAAGCGCCGTTCGGGTTGCCACTGTTTGGGGTCTCCACTGCTCCTCTTCCAGTTGCCTATCCCAGCTCTTTTAGAACCTGTCCTATATCAGTAGCCTTTATTAGTGTAGAACACAACCATAATCAAACATGCACTGAACACAAGCAGGGTTACACTAGCCTCCAGCTTCTGTCTGTATTCCTGCCTAGCCCCTGGTGTCTAAACTCCCAGATTGTAACCTGCACCTCTTTGACTCCCTGCCTAACCCCTAGTTTCTGAACTCTTGGTTTGAGACCACTGGCTCTAAACTTCTGACTCTGAGCCACTACCCCTCATGTCCAGGTGATGCCTGTAATAGCTTGAGAGCCCCTAAAGCACAGCATCTCCTGCAGAGCAGTTCCCAATCCCCATAATAGCCCCCCCGGGTATCAATTGGACTTTTCCTAGGGCCATGACTCACAACCAGGGTGCCTTGAGATCCTTCCAAAGATGCCAGTGAATGCCGCAATACCTATGGCAATTCTCTCAAATGGAGTTCAATCAGTGGGAGGGGCACTAATAGAGCTCTAGGAGACTTTCCCTGGGATATTAAGTAACAAGAAGGACAAACAATTGTCTGACACTTCCCTGTGCAACCCTGGGCAGTCAAACCTCTATGGTCTATGGGTGCAGGCAGAAGAGACAATTTTTGTCTGATCTGACCACAGAAAGCAGTCTATAGCTGTGACCAAACACAAGTTCATAGCTGCAGACAGCATCAAAAATCATTGGCAATGCATAGTGGGTGCACCCAGGTGCATATGCACCTCCCTGAGATTGGCATCCCCTGTGAAAAGCATTGCTGACACTGCTGGCGGCACCTGTGGGTGGTTGCCGCGCACCACCCCTGCTTCGCTGCCAGCACTGCCGGCGGCATCTGCAGGCAATCCCTGATCACCGCTGGCCACCGCCACCACCACCACCAGCAGTGTCTGTGGATGGTTGCTGACTGCTGGTCAGTGCTCGCCACCCTCCCCCCCAGCCAACAACACCGCCGTGGCTGCCTGCAAGAGCTCCCCTGCTCACTGCTGCCCCCTGCCTACGGGAGCTCCCCGCTCACTGCTGCCCCCGCCACCACCTCTGCCTATGGGTGGTCACTGTGCCCCCCCAGCCTCTGGGAGTATGCAGCACTCATATAAAAAATGGCTGATGGGATAAAAATCCGACCCTTTGTTGCATGAGGTATCATATAAAGATATTTCAAAATGTAGCATTTACTGTAACTTGTGTCTGCAAAGCTCCCAGACTTTCACTGTTTTCAGAATGGAAGCGGGGAAAAGGAGCAAAGGGAGTTTAGTCTGGGGGGTTTTCAGCCCCCCTGGAGGGTGGGGCAGGTATACTGGAAACTTCCTGAGGTGGGAAGGCTCCAATTCACCCACCCCACCTTTCAGCACCAGCTGGGTAGGCCCAAGAAAAGCTCCCTCCACTGCCTTTCCCCTTTCCCATTCTGAAAACACTGAGCCCTGGCACAGAGCCGTGGCCATTGCTATGGGAACCAGGCTGCAGGCTCCCAGCCCGCAGCTAGATTCCCCTCCCTCCTGGAGCCAACAGTGAACTTCTGTTTGGTCTTAGTTACATCTGGTAGCTGCACTTCTGTCTGCACCCTATTTCTTCCCTGTCCGCTTTTCCCCTGTCAATTCTATGATGACATTTGTAACAGGTGAGGTGCCTGGGGTTGCCATCACACCCCCTTTTAGATCATCCCTATCCTGTCAGGCTCTCACTCTGGCCTCCCAGGGTCTCACCCCATTGCCTCTCATCTGCCATGCCTTGTTAAAAGCACTTACACTTAGATGGGGCCTCAAGTCAATACCTGGCTACCTCAGGCCTTCACACACTTGTAAGGGTCTTGGCCTTTCCAGCCTTCACCCCTTTTCTCTAGCTTTCCCCTTGCTGCCTAGGCCTATTGTAGCAGGCCAGGCTTCTGGGTCCCAGCCCTGTTGATCCAGACTCTTGGGGTCTCCACCCCTTGTCTCTTGCTTGGGGTCCATGACTGCAGAGTTCACCCCTCACAGGCAACACATCTCTGACCATGTTTCACCTCTCATAGGTATCTCTGCTGACTCAGTCTTCTGGGGAGTCCACCCCTGGCCTTTTGCTCAGGGCTCCAAGCCCCGGAGTTTGCCCTTCCTGGTCTCTGACCTTGCATTGCTTCTCATAGGCATGTTTCTCGACTCAGTCTCTTGGGGCCTCCACCTCTTGCCTCTTGTTTGGTATCCCTGGCCCCTGGGTTCACCCCTCACAGTTAAAGGTCCCTGACCCTCCCTTTGCATCTCACAGGCACTTCTTTCTCTAATGGGCTTTGGGCCCCTAGCTCTGGTTCTCATCCCTCTACCAGAATGCTGGGCTTCCTGGCCCCTGTCTTTGCCCTGCAAGGGCTCCAGGCCCTTGAGCCTGGTCAGTGCCTTGAGCCTAACCCCTAGCAGGACTCGAAGCAGTCACATGCCCCTCAGGCACTAAGGGGACCTCCAGAAACCACCCCTCATAGTCCTACCCAAACTACCTGTGTAGCTGACTCCTTTCTGCCTAGGCCCAGTGCTCCACACCAGGCCCCTGGGTGCCAGCCCTAGTCTCAGCCTCTCAGGCACTGGTTTCTACCCTCTTGGGCTTTGGGATCCTGGCCTGGTTCTGCCTCCCTTGGGCTATGGGCTATGACTTTCTTGGCCACGGGTCAGCTATTGCCTCTCTCAGGCTCATGTAGAGCTTGTTAGAATCCTTCCTCCCAGGTTTGTTCCACATCAAACTGGCAAAGGTTGATGATTTCCTCAACATCCAGAGGTTCTTCCAGAGCTTGTGTGTGGGGATCCTCAGTCTCCAGTCCAACTAACCCCTTGGCTGGTCCCATCTGCATTCCCACTTCTTGACCCACAGATGAGCCTCACCCCAACTAGTCTGCAGTATCTCTTGGAAACAGGTAAGTTGCACTCCAGTATTACCATGCACGACAGTGCTGGAAACAGGTGGGCTGGCATCATATAGGTCTGCCCCAGCATGAAAATTGTGACTCACCCTCACTCATAGTAGCAGGTCTGGCCATGTAGGCAAATGAGGGGTCATTGATCTACTATTGTTCTTTCTCTCTGGGATATCACCTTCTCACTCACTATGGTCTGGGTGCAGGCTGAGTCCACAACAGTGTTTGTTTTCCCCCCAGCTATTTGAAGGTCTGTTATGGAGAGGGGTGGGGGGGTGCCTCGGGTCAGTTCCTGGCCCCCATTATGTTTCTTCCCATAACTGCAGTCTATCTGCTTCTTTTCTGGAGCCTCCTCAATCCCAGGCCCTCTAAGCCTCATGTCTTCTGGTACTGGTTGTGGTTTTTTCCTAGTTTGGGGCAGACTCTTGAAGTGCCCTGACCTCCTGCACCTGTAACACCAGTCCAATATGTGTCTCTCCCTTTTATCCTCTATTTGGGGCCCTTCTCCTGTCCCCTGGGTTGTTATTCCCTTACCTCCTTTGTTTCCGGTTCCTTTTTTCCTCTGGTTTAGCTCTTCCACTAAAAAAAAGCCCAGCCAACATGGCCAGGTTATTCCAACATACTGCATTCTAGGTCTCTGGCTGTAAGTCCCACAGAAACTGCTTTCATATGATCTGGTCCATCAAAGCCAATTTTGTCCTTCTCCCTAAGACCAAACATTTGTGTGCCATGTCCTGTAGAGACTGTGCCCAGGTAATTACTATGTCATTCAGCTCATTATGGTTTGTACCTTGCTGATTCTGTATATAACTCTTGCCAGGTGAACTCTTTTTGTTGTATTTATACTATAGGGCCTAAGCCCTGAAGTCATTGGAAAATTTCCCACTAACTTGAATAAGCTTTAGAACAGATTCATACTGATTGTCTAATTATTAGTTGCAAACCACTGAAAACAACTAAATAAATCATTAACAGCTTTCAACAATTTTTGAACTACTAAGTTATCCAAGTTTCACCCTACAATGCAGGTTAGGTATCTTTACTTTCTCTGCTGTTGCTGAAATTCACACTGTAAATCACATGATTATGGAGAGGATTTCACCATCTAGACCAAGCTGCCATGCAGGCAGGTATTTAAGGGTATGTTTAAACCTATAAGATTTCTCATAAAAGCTTGAAATTTGTCATGTGTTTCAGTACCTTGCTAAATGAGGATCTACATGTTTCCTTAAGAATATGGCTATTGCTTTTAATTACAAAGAAAGGTAAAGCGCACTGTTATTTTTTCTTTAAAATATATCACAGATTTTAGAACATGGGCTAAATAGAAAAATTATTATTACATTGATGATGTAAAAAAAGGATCAGTTTACCTTTTATTTACTTTGGACATTATTTTCTTCATTCATGGAAATGGGAAGAAAGAGGAAAGCAACCAATCTATTTCAGAAACATACTGATTATTTTTATAGAGCCTAGCAATAAGAATGATGTGTTATTATCCAAAATTACAGTATTAGCACTTTAAAAGTTTCCCAACTCTCCAGAGTAAAGACATGGACAATGTACAATGTATAAGCAAGTGTAATTGCTCTGGAAATGAAAACAAGTATGTATTAAGTTTGGGCTCTGCCCTGTGCACCTGCTTTGAAAATACAGAGATGAAAAACAGCAGCCTACTAAATGGTCAAATCACCATTCAGAGAAATGTTTTGATGATTTGTAATCCAGTATTTCCTGGATATTTTCTGTTGCTGTCTTCCAGGATTTGGGTCTAGGTTTTCAAAGCTTTTTAATAATAATTGATGGTGTCAACTCACAACTTTTAATACCAGATCCTTCAGTTGTACAAAAAGAATCCAGATCGGTGCCTTTTCCCAGGGGCTTTATTATTTACTATACTCTCATTGTTTTTTAATACTTTTAAACATGACTAAAGTGAAAGAGTTTCCATGTTTATTACCATTTTAATGCTTATGAGAGAGACGTTTAAATTTACAAATAAGAAGCACTAGGTTCATTCCCGATACAAGTCTACTGTAGCTGTCCTAGAATCAAAGATCTTACAAGTTATAACTAGCTTCACTGCCTTCCTAAACCAATGATAGGAAAACACATAAATCAAGGGATTGCAGGCAGAATTAAAGTAAGCAAACCAGATGAGAACATCAAACAGTACGGGTGGAGTAACAAAACCCAGAAAGCTGTCTACCATGGTGTCTATGGTAAAGGGTAGCCAGCAAAGGAGGTAGATTCCTACAGCTATCCCAAGGCTCTTTGCTGCCTTTCTTTCTCTCTTTGATGCTCCTAAGTTTAGTTGAGACTCAATACTCTTATTCATGCTGTTTATCTGTCTGGCTTGCCTGTTTGCAACAATAAATATTTTTATATATAAAGCTATCATTATGAGGCAGGGGAAGAAGAACACTGGGAAATTTATCCAGCCCCAGAGTTTGTTAAAGAGCAGCTGACAGCTCCCAACACAAGGCATGTCTTGTAAAAAATGACCTAGTCCTTCTTCAATGGCCTTAGTATACAGGAAGACGGATGTGTAAACCACAGGTATGCACCACCCTGTTGCTATGTAGATGCAAGACACCCTTATGGTAAACTTAGTGGGGTAAAGCAAAGGATCACAGATAGCGCAGTGACGATCAATGGAAATGAAACATAGGTGAAGTATTGAGGTCAAGCAAAAGAGTGTGTCCAAAAAGGTATGTAGCCTACAAAAGCAGTCTCCAAAGTACCAGCAGCTCTCCACAGATCGAATAGTACTGAAGGGCAGTACAGTTAGTCCCAGGAGAAGGTCTGCAAAGGCAAGAGAGAGTAGCAAGAAGTTGGTGGGGGTGTGCAAAGCTTTAAAATGGGAGACAGAGACCACAACCAGCAGGTTCCCCAGTACTGTGACAATCATGCCTATGGCACAGAAGAGGTAGATGGTCAGCTGGACCCCGAAGGGGTGTAGTGTTCTGTAACAGGAGCCGTTTGTCTCATAGCACAAAGAGGTGATCATCATTTGTCTAATACCAAGCTCCTTGACAGAGTTAATTTATTTTCTTTGCCACTTCTTCTGTATGCCCAATGAATAGTCCAGCCTTCAGCTAAGGACCCAGACACTTACCTGAAAAATAAGAAAAGAGAGGGTGGAAGAGTAGAAGACAGAGAGAGAGAGAGACCCCTCTGTCTTCCAATCAAATGTGCATAAATTCCAAATATCATGGACAACATTACATCTTTTAAATGACAGGGAAAAATTATTATGAGTATGGACTGGACTAAAGCAGATTGCTGGAGGAAGAGGAGCTCTGAGAGATGGATCATTCTGGTTGTGCTCTGCGTAAACACTCTTCCTTTAACACCCACTTTTTGTTATTGAGAGAGACAGGATACTGGATTAGACGGACTTGTAGTTTGACCAGTTATGGCATTTCTTATGTTCTTTGAATAGTTACCTTATCAATACATTTGTTTATATTTTACAGTAGTCTTGAAGCAATGTTGTAGCTGTGATGGTCCAGGAAATATGTGAAAGGCAACAATTTTTGTGGATACATAGTTGTGTTGCTGTGCCTGCTTCTCTCCCAGAGACCCAAAGATATCCAAAAGTTTGTCTAACTCTATCCCAACCAGGCAGTTGGTCCAAAAAAAGAGATCACCCAGAAATTCTTACCTTTGTTCATATTTTATGGCATCCTTTTCATGCATATTTTCATTTTTATTTATCAGATAAAAGTACAGTATTTGTTTCTGTTACTGCTTGGGAAACTGAAGAAGGACTTATACTGGTATATAGGTAAGTCAAGATTGAGTTCTCCTTTAAAATGGAGAAATTGGCCTCACCCCAGTTGTGGAAAGCTAAGTCTTCCATACTCTTTACTGTTGACTCCCATAGAACAAAACACTGATTTTTGTAAATTTCCACTTGCCATGGAGTTCTAACTCAATAATGGAAATAATTTTTGTTCTTAGGAGACCAATTTGAATTAGTTTGTGCTTCCTCTGGGCACATGGCCATGATCTAACAAAATAATATATATTTTTACTTCAAAGGAAAGCTCCAGTGGCCAGGTTGGTCATTCTTACCTATTTCTAGCCCTAGGAACATAAGTAGATACCCATTTTAAGGTGCAGTATTCTACATAAGGTGCACCAAATGTCCTGGTTAATACAATTCCCAAAACACTGTCTCTTTTATCTGCTACTATTACTGACTATTTTAAGATTCAAGTAAGCATAATTCAATGGGAAAACTGATCTGTAAAGCTTCAGGCTTATATACAAAGAGAATAGAGGAGAGAGAGGTGAGGAAGTGTACTCAGAAAATAGTGGCAGTTTAAAAATCAAACTGTTTTCCTTGCAGTTAGTAGAAAACTACATTGCAGTGGAGAACACCATTGGCAACATTGTCAAATGTACCCATTATTTATGACTACAAAGAAGAATGGTGTGGTTCAGTAAATGATCAGTGTATACCATATGGTTTTATTTTGAAATTGCTGTTACTTTCTGAAACACTCTCATAGATAGGTAAGAAGCTCCCAGTAGTATTTTTAATGAATAAGACAATTAAACACTTTATTCTAAGCCACCAATTGATTATGTTTTTAAAAAGCTACTGTTAGAAAATTGTAGTTAAATATATGGTATTTATCTTTACTTTGTTTTTTTGCCATAAAATCACTAAAGTAGCACCTGGAAATAGTGGAGAAAACTATTTTTTGTACATAATCAACACCACCATCACCCCATATCCTGCCAACCTACAACAATGATACTCTCCTCAGTAGAATAACATATAATGATATAATACATACTTTTAAATCAGTGATACTTACAGTAAAACAGGATTACCTATTACTGGCTAAGGTTGTCTGTAGCACAAATCTTTCTAATAACAACGTATCCAAAGACACATCTGGATGGTGTGAGATTAACCAATACTTTATATATAATCCTGATGGAAAGGCCGTCCCCTCAGATGAGGATAATACAATGAGCAGTGTTTCAGAGGGTGTGCCCAAAGCATTATTGGCACAACAGATGGGTGTTGTGCAGATGCTTGTTTTAAAAAGCAAAGATGCTAAGCCCGGTGTCTTATTGGCACAGAAATTCAGAAACTTCTTTCCTAGGACCTTCATCTCACCAGGTTCTGACATCCAATGACCATCTCCTCCAGTGACATCCCTTCACTGTCACCCTGCACAGATTCTAAGCTTCCCATAACCTTTCCTATATCAGGTTCAAACAGATCACTGATGTCCATCCATTTCACCTCTGACACCTCTCCTTCCCTACATCTGCGTCCCTCATTAAGAAAACCTTAAGTTGCCTACACCCCATCCTCACCAGGATCCATTTCCTCCCCCATCTCCTTTCATGTTTCTCTTTTCTCCAGCCTTCCACAATGTTTTCTGAATGCATTGTGGGCCAAAAAAACTACTGAGGTCCAGAAAAGAGGCAGCTATAGCAGTTGGTTCATCTGTTTCTTCAAGAAGGGATTATGCTGAAAGCGGTTCCACTTCTTGTCTTTCTAAACCCATTCTACAAATGAACTCATTATATAGTTTTTGAACTTCTACCCTAAAGGTTTAGAAACTTTTCTAAATCTGTTCTTTTATCAGGGGCACAAGGCCACTATTTTGGAAATATTTTCCAAATATGCTGAAGCATTTTAATTTTGCTAACACCACATTTTTAATCTTGTTCTTTGAGGTAAATATTGGGAATGAAAAAAATCAGGTTATGAATAATTTTATGAAGCCCTGGACCTAATGTATAGGGTTTTATCATGATAACTTTATTTTGTACAGTAGATACTACATATTGAGGGCATTTCCATGTGCACTTTACTGTGGAGTTGAGTAATTAGCTCTACAGTAAAACGTCACCGTCTACATGTGAGGTACTATTGGGCCAGAGTAAACTAATTAACTCTGCCATAGGATAGTACTGCCCAACAGTTATTTACTCCACTGCAGTGTATGTGTAGAGTGACCGGGGCTGGCTGGAGCATGAGGGTGCAACAGTGCAGGGGCTGCCTGCCGGCTAGCCCCACACTACAGCACCAGCGTTTCCCAGCCAGCCTCTTCTCAGCATGTTAAGCCAGGATGAAGCAGCTCCACGTTGGCAGGTTGTACCCTCCCAGGCCCCTGCTAGGTAGGGCTGCATCACACTGGCTCAACATGCTGTGGTCCTGGGCACACACGTAAATCCGGTGCCTGGTAGCAATAAACTCAGCCACAAATTGTGCTGGTGTTTATTCAGCCATGCTAATTGTACATATAGGTGTGCCCACTCAATCTAGATAAACTCCTATATTTCCCAAATCAGCCTAGGCTTGCCAGCCCTATTTGCCATCTTTTCTCTCCCCTACTTGACGCTGTTTCTACTTTGTTCCCTACATCATTGTTCTCTAGTACAAGGGTGTCTCTGACAGCTAGATGAGTGTTGCAGGGCTGGTCCACAGGTCAGTTGAATGGTGTTGGGGTGGTCCTGCAGGCTGGATCAAGTCCACAGACCCCCCTCTCCCTCCCACATGCCAAACACAGATCATGCAGTGCTTGCCCAGGTAGCCCAGGACATATCGTGCCTGTACTGGCTGATCCAAAACAGTGCTGCACACAGTACCCATGCAGGGCTGGTCTAGGATACTCTACATGTATGACACTTACTCCAGCCAGTCCAAGATGCATTTCGGTTGGATGCTTTATGCAGCATAGGCCTTAGAGGAGCTGAAGCAGGTGCTAGCTGTGGCCTGTGGTCTGGACCAGCTGGAGTGGGTGCTGCATGCAGCATGGGTCCCAGGTCTGCTGGAGTAGGCCCAGTGCACAAACCCAGTCTGGCACACACCACATGACGCATGTAAATCAACTATGGATCCAAGTGTAGCACCAAGGATCCAGCCCATGGTCCATATTTTTGACACAACTGCTCTAGTAAAATAAGAGATTATTTACAAATTGAAAGAAGGCCTTTACAGCCTTGTAGGTGAGCACCGTGGTCAAGTGATGAGGAGCTTTGGACTTCCTTTGGTCTTCTGCAGTAAGGAGTTCTCCAACCAAGTCCTTAGGCCACAGCTCCCAAAAGCCTCAATATGGCCTCCTTCATCAGCAAAAGGCTCTTGCAAGGGCTCCTTGATTTCATAGATTTCATAGACATTAGGGCTGGAAGGGACCTTGGAAGATCATCGAGTCCAGCCCCCTGCCCAAAGGGCAGGAAGTCAGCTGGGGTCATAGGATCCCAGCAAGATAAGCATCCAGTTTCATCTTGAAGGTGTTCAATGAAGGCGCTTGAACCACCTCCGGTGTCAGGCTGTTCCAGACCTTGGGGGCTTGGACAGTAAAGAAATTCTTCCTTATGTCCAGCCTGAAACGATCTTGAAGTAGTTTCTGACCATTCGACCTCATCATCCCTTGGGGCGCTCTGGTGAACAAACGTTCCCCCAGATGCTGGTGGTCACCCCTGATAAACTTGTAGGTGGCCATCAGATCACCCCTGAGCCTGCGCTTTTCCAGGCTAAAGAGCCCCAGGGCTCTCAGCCTGTCATCGTAGGGTCTGCTTCCCTGACCTCTGATCATGCGCGTGGCTCTTCTCTGGACTCTCTCAAGCTTCTCCACATCCTTTTTGAATTGTGGAGCCCAAAACTGGAAGCA